TTTTTTTTTTTTTTTGGTACCAGGGATGAAATGTACTCGGTCCTCGCGTTTAGAAGTCAGGCAATGGTAGTGTTTTTTTGTTTGTTTGTTTTTGGTTGCTGTTGTTGTTTTGAGACAGGGTCTCACTATGTAGTTGAGACTGACCTGGAACTCACTATGTAGCCCAGGCTGGTCTCGAACTCACAGCGATCCTCCTGTCTCAGCCTCCCGAGTGTTGGGTTTACAAGCGTGCGCTACTACACCCGGCCTCTTTTTCATTTCTTAATTTTGAGACAGGGTCTCAGTCACTAAATCACCAAGTTGCCCAAATTGGGCTTCAGCTTGCGATCCTTCTCCCTCAGCCTCCCAGGGTGCTGGAGTTATAGGCGCGCGACCCCGCGCGTCAGGCCAAGAAACACTTTCAAGGGGAACATTGGGCCGGAAGTCCGGCCATCTCGCTGAGGTTCCAGCTGCGCTCCCTCCCTTTCTCATCTCTCCAGGCATCCACCAGAGGACGCGACTCCCCTAAATCTTCCGAACCTGGGCGCTTCCTGGGCGGAACCGACTGCCTAGCTCGCCCGCAGGTCAGGTCAGCCCCGCCCTCCCAGGGCGCCTGACCCAGACCCCGCCCCCGCCGCCTTGGCGACGGGAAGCTATGACGTAACCCGCCGGCGGTGTTGCAGTCTGTCATCCCGGTTGGCCCAAACACACCGCGGTCTCTGACCAAGGAGGGGACGAAAACCAAGACTCACTCCTGATATCTCGCGCCCATATCGAGCAAGTGCACCACTGCCTTGCGTGGTCGGCACGCGTGGGAACGCCAGAGGCCCGAGCCTCGCTGGCGCTTGTGCCCTTCACACCCCAGCCTGGGAACTCCCACTCCCGCCCCGCGCGCATCCCCAAGGAGGTCAAACCAGCTATCTCAGCTGGCGAGAGGACGCGCGCCTGTCATCCCAGCACTCCGGGACTGAGCCATGAGAACTGCAATTTCGAGGCCAGCCTGGAAAACAGTAAAATCTTTTTTTGTTTTGTTTTGTTTTGTTTTTTTTTGACAGGGTCTCACTATGTAGTTGAGACTGACCTGGAATTTACCATGTAGTTCAGGCTGGTCTCGAACTAACAGCGATCCTCCTGCCTCAGCCTCCCGAGTGCTGGGATTACAGGCGTGCGCCACCACGCCCGGCTCAAAATTTAAAAAGGGCTGGGGGCTCAGGGATGTAGTTTAGGGCCGAGGATTTAGCGCGCCGCGCCTGCCTTGAAAGCGCAAGGTCTTGAGCTCTAGTCCCCCGTACTGGA